TTTAAGGAACAATTTTGACTTCATATTTGAGGTACTTTTTGAAGTATACGCAGTATTGATACCATTTTAATTCCTCCCTTGCCATGAGGGTGCCACATGTTTCATTTGGAGTTTTACACCGGATGTCCTTCTTGATGCAACCCCAAAGAAGATTTGTATCTGCAGCTGGAATTGGACCTACAGCACTGGAGTTTATATTACTTAAAAATCGGCTTGATGTGATTTTCGCATCAAGCACAGGTGAAGCTGTGTTTCTGGTCTTTCCTTTGGAACAGGAGACTAATGTTGCCTTTCAGCTGTCTTTTGGTGAGGGGTCAGCTACACATTCCACTATGCTCTGAAGCTGTTAACTTTGCATGCTGAAATGCTTAAATTCCAACTGTTTGTTCATCTCTTTCACTGTTACTGTAAATAAGTTAGAACAGCTTTAAATGCTGTATGATAAATGTGACACATCTAAATATTTATTTTTTTATTTTTTTATTCAGTATCTCCCTCCTGGCTGTGAGTAACTCATTCAGTTAAAGGACTCTTTAATATATCATCTCCTTTACAGATAGTGTGGAAGATTGATTGTGGGGATGTCATTAATACTGATTTAAAAGTTTAGTGGCTTCGGGTCAGATAGCTCAGTGTGTAACAATAGGCTGATTTGCATTGACCCCTGTGTAGGATGTGGGGAGGTTTGTGAATAAAGGCCTCTGGCTGAATCAGTCTCCTTTCAGGCTTTGTTTTGGTCAAGCACAGCAAGTAATGTGATCGTATTTTAACCTTGTGACCCCGACGCTGTCAGACTCATAGTGTACTCAACACTCTTGCTTCATGAACTTTGGTGTCCTGTATAAGGAAAGAATAGCAGCTCAAATTCTTTTGATTGGATTATCAGATTAGTTAATTGATGATGGATTAATAGGTGTGAACGTGAGTGCCTTGCCACAGGCTGGCAACCTGTGCAGGGTGCACCCCGCCTCTCACCCTTTGGTCTCACCCCCCACCCTCTAAATTCCCGCTACCTTGATAAAGATAAGCAGAAGAGAATGAATGGATTAAGAATTAATTCTGGATTTCTGCACCACTTCACACTAAACAGTGTTGGAACAGCCTGTCTTAATGTAATCAGTGATTAAAGGCTAAACATTAACATTTGCATTTAGTTTTTAGGCTTGAGTGGTTCTGAGACCTGGCTGGCTCAGCGTTTGTGTCATTTAAACCGAGCCTTTTCTGCATCACTCCTAAACATTGTGCTGACATCATATGTTTAGTACACCAGGGATTCGCTCTTGTTTCCATTAAATCAAACATTCACTGACACAAGGTAGCTTGTTATCCTGTTCCTGGAATCTTTGGGTTTATTAGTTCAAAACTGGACATCACTGTCAGTACTGAACGTCATGCGGTGAAAGGAAACGCATGGATTGGACCGTACAGGTGAGGAAGGCTGGTAAAAATCACCGACGGTGGTCATACTTTTTTAGAATAACAATTTAAAGCACGCATGGAAAAATGCATTCATGCACAGATTTATTTATACGAACATCACTCTTGCCAGTCTAATTCAGAGAACTGCAGGGCGATGTTAAGAAGCACATAAAACCTAAAACTTGTCCTCAATTTCCAACAATTCACTGTTCGAATATAAAACTATCTTTGGTCATCTTGTTTTTTGTTTGCTGCAGTTATTAAACCTACATTTGGTAATGATCAGGCACTAGGTGTTTCTCTTTTTTTGTGCTGTGCTTTGTTCTGCAGGAGATAATTGGAGTGTAATTAGCTGAACGTGCTACCTGGGCTCATTAAAGCTCTCTTCCTCTTCTCGCTCCGTGTCTCCCAGACTCAGACTAGCTCAACAACAGCATGTGTTTTTGGTTTTATCCTGCATTCCTCATACTCTGCCACTCCTCAGTGCATGCTTTACACTGCTGACTGATACACACATATTCCTTTAGTTTATGTTTCGTGTAAATAAATGGTCTTTTTCTAAATTACCACCTCGTCTTGTCTTCGCCTTCTAGTTGGGCTGTGACATCAGGAACAGCATGTATTGAATGTTTCAAAAGAAAGGCAAACTAAAAACTTCCCTGTACTACTGCATATTTCCTCAGCTTTGTTTAGTCTGGGTTTTTTAGTATATAACTACTTGTATTAGTTTTTAGCATGCATAAGACCACACCAGTCATCAGTAGTGCTTCAGAGATTAATGCAATGCAGCTACTTGGGGACAAAAATAGGAAACCAATTGGTAAAAAGCTTTGAAGCCACTTCTATTTCAAATTCATTCAGTTAATTCTGACTGATCTAGTATTGTGGAACCAAGGTATGCATGCGTATGTTGTCAGTTTTAGTCTAAAACCAGCTTTTTCAGTTTAATAGTTTCTGTTTTTAAAAAAATTTTTTATCTCTTGGATTGCATTAACTCCAACTCCTTCCTCTTTTTCTGCTCAAACTTTTGTTATGACTTGCCTAAAGTTTTTTTGCAGTGTGTGTTAGTCGATCGATCATAACACACTAAACATTTTTTAAAGAGACTCGTGTAGAAGGCACAATAGGGCTGTGCTGCAGTTTTTAGTTGTGTGGTTTTGTGCCACACAACAGATTTTTGTGCATGTCTGGTAAAGGAAGAGAAGGCTTGTGGGTGAGAAGAAGTGTGAGATGAGTGAACATGTGAAAATGTTGTGCGACTGAATGGAAAAATAAATCATTTGGTGGGAGCAGCAGAGTTGTGATAGTCTTAATCACTTTATAAATCATGCAAAACCGGCCATGATGCCTTTTTTTGTTGTTCACCAACCGCTCAAAAAGCTTGTCCATTAACTCCATAGTCGGGCTGATAATACATATGTATGGGGGTAAATAACACACTGCTTTCAGCACACAAAACATCTATTTGAATTGCAAAACTGGTTATTTTCCCTCTGTTTTCATCCAACACAAAGCTGCTCTGAATTCGGAGCAGAGGTCTGTTTTAAATCAAAACTGTTGTGTGTAGCCAGAGTTTGGCAGCTCTTCATAAATGTGTGCAATAAAGAGATTCAACTGTGGAGGATGATGACTCCTCTGTGAAGCCTTATGTTACACATTGTCATAGTGCAACAGTCACCAAAGGGGCTAAAGGTCAAATCTAACCCTCGTGTACCCAGAAAATGTCCCATTTTAGTCACCTCAACAACAGCTCGTATAGATAGCCCAAGTATTCGTGTATGCATGAGAACTGCTTGCCCAGCTGAGTTACTTAGTCACATTCCTCAGAGGACCCTCCAGCTCACAGCAGGCTGTCACAGTGTCAGAAAGCGTGAAAATGGCTCCTCTGACTGGGAGACCAGACCCAGTCTGGCATCCATCTGTAGCTCCAGTGTCACGTCAGGGCTGTAGATGTCACTGTTATACAAATACACACGTGGGTGAGTTATGTCAGTGGATTTGAAGCGCTTGAGTGAATTGACGTCAATGAAAGCGCATGCTATACATTTGACATATCATCATTAAAAATGACCAACATGTAAATCCCAATCCTGTTTCATTAGTGTTACAGCTTTAATCAGTGAAAATGGACAAGCTCAAAGGTGCAGAGGAGTCCATATAGGTCTCTCTTACAAATGAAGGAATCTCTGTATGTCAGACCATGCATTCTTCATTTGTCTTTACAACCATTACACCTGGCCGGCAGGAGAGTCACTGTGGATACAAGAGAGTGAAGTCTCTTGGTCTGTTTGGGGCAATGTTGGTCTAGTTTTGGGGCTCCTCTTCCTGTTTCTCAGGCTCTAATGGCTAAGAAATAAATAATGTGCCATCCATTTTACCGGACATGATCATCAGGCTCTTATCACACCAAATACAAAGTTGTCCCTCCCTTGAATGGTCCTCAGTAGGTCTTAGTTGGGTAGATTCAACCTCTAATAAACAACAGTGCATGACATGCTATTCCATTATTTATTTAACCAAAGCTGTGTGTGAAAAGGTGAGCACACCTCATGATTCAATAGCTTGAAAAGCCATCTTTAGCAGTAATATAAAGGAATCGTTTTCTATATGACTTTTTCAGTCTCTGTCCTGATATACAAAACATTACAAAGTAAACGGTCTTGTGTTGCTGTTCCCCCCACAGGACTGTAAGAAAGATCCAGGATGTTGTTACGACAAGCATGAAACACCAGCTCGCCCTCTAGTGGTGCAGATAGCATGCAACATATATAGTGCAACACAGTGAGATGACTTTTAATGATATTGCCTGTGAGATGAGATGAGACACAAAATTCCTCACTTAAGTCAAAATTTCACAGTTTTACATTCTAGATGATACCCAGGCCTAACAAATAAAGAATTGAGTCCATTAGAATATCAAGACATAAGCAACAGACTTTTTTCTGTAAGTGTACACATTTATTTTTTACAATTTATTTTTTATTCCATTTCATTTTACGGCCACAGCAATGCAGAAAAACCAAGACGTACTGCTGAAATAGCACTTTTTTCATATGTTAAGACATCTCAGGGATTAAATGTGTAGTTAAACTTCTTTACACAGAAATTGGGCTGTATGTGGCCCACAATGTAAAATTCCCTTCTCCAAAACGAACAAGTAGATGTAGGGTGTAGGGTAAACGTTTTTCCTTTAATTTGTCACCCCGCAGTAGTTGCGCTTGCAGTTAATGAGCTTAAATTATGGACGGCATGTCTTGACCTGTCTTTTGACATCAATGTAGAGGGCGCACTTGAACAAAAGCTGGACGAGTGGAGATAATCGGGTGTTACGAGCGGTACGTGAAGGCGTCGTGAGCATGCTGGCGCTAACAGCGGCAAAGGAAGTGCCGTTATTCTCTGCCACGTCTGTAGGCTCCTGAAGCGGCGCAGCCTGCAGAGGCGGCAGGTCAGAGCACCGGGATGAGCCGGTGCGTGGTGGTGGGGGGGATGAGAGGGGGGCAGTGGGAGTGACCGAGGAAACGCGGAGGAGAGGAAGGAAAGAGGAAACACGTCGAGGCACAACACAGCGCTGAAAAGAGCTCCGACTTCTAGGAGCCACCGCTGTCTTCTGGAGGATCCTTTCCTGCAGGACGTCTATTGTCCGGACAGAGCCGCGGGGAAACCCATGCTAAGCTCAGGGAGAATGGAGGAATTCGTAACCGAAGAGGAAGAGCCATGGTACGACCAGCAGGACCTGGAGCAGGGTAAGACAAGTCACCATCCTATCCTGCCTGCCCGCAGCATCCCTTGTTTCTGTCAGCTTCTGGCACCGGGCGCTCAGCCGGCCTCTTCGAACAAAGACTCTGTTGTCGTGAGATACGACAGAGAAGTCATTTGGAGCCGTTTGCTTGCTCTGCTTCAGCGCAATCAATAAAAACAGCAAAGGAGTTCCCAAGGAGCGGACTGCGCTTCTTTGACAACAATGCTTTGAAAGCATGCCAAGCAGGGCCTTTGCATGGCTGGAAGTAGTCAGCATCAATGTGATGCACCCGTGTCAGGGTCCACCATATATATGGAAGTCCTAATCGAACTAAAGCGCATATTTTTAGGCACCGATGTTGCAATTCTGGGTCGATGTGTTTAAAATATTTTTCTACCTGTTTTGTATTGATTTATTAAATGCTTTGTGTCAGGGATCCCCATTCTAAAATATAGCTGAGCCATTCAATTTTTTAACCTCTGGATCACAATTATTTTTATTATATTTTGACATCAGGAATGTCCTCTATGTTGCGGTTATCAGTAGAGTTTGAGAGGAAATATCGATACAGTATAGTAAAAACAAGGAAAACCAAATATCAATATTTTATTACAGAAATTCAAATACTTTGGGACATGCACCACCACCCTGAGGTAACCCAACACTAGAAACACTTAGCTTGAGAAAATTAGCTCCTAATTTGGAGCAAGTTAATAGATGGCGACTAAATGGCTGCAGAGAGCAGGACCCGTTTGATCGCAAGGTACCTGAAACCTTTCTGCAAACAGTTGCAGTCTGACTCGGACTGACTGCAATCGTTCTCAGTGAGGTTGTCAAAGGCTGATTTCTGTCTAATTAAAAATGCAGACAGATTGCCAACATGTTGCCATCAGTCTGCATGAGTCTTAGTCAATGAGTACAACTCAGCAGGCTGCCAGCTGGTTGTATTCTGTTATATTCCTCAAGAACAGGAAGGTTACTGAGCAGAAATGTAATAGTTAGATTGCTGTTCATGTAGATGGAAACAGCTACATGATTTTTCAATGATTTACCACTGTTAATGGCTGTATTATCAGCTAGCATGCAATTGCTAACCATTAAACTACAAACTGATGCCAGACTGATAGCAGACTAACTGCATGTTATGGTGACATTTATGGCAGGTTTTGTGACAGTTTTGAGATGGTTATCTGATGTGAGATAGCTTTATCTTACTGGATTAAAAAAATGTATTGACAAAGTTTAATTTTAAGGACAAAAAAATCGAAATATTTTCATATGGCGAATAAGGGGCTATGATAATATCATATCGTGGGATGTCTAGTGATGGCCAGCTCTAGTTACCAGTGACTAGTGATGATAAAATAAGATAAAACAAAGAGATAAAAAAACATTTTTCTGTAAAATAAATAAATGAAAAAAAAAAGAATTGCAGTTTGCCAACATTATTCTGATTGAGCTAGCTTTTGTGAAGGAAAAATCTCAATAACCTTCCAGTTCAAAGCTTGCTAATTAACTCGTGTCTTTCCATTAACACCATAACCTCCGCCCAGTAACAACACAAGGGACTCGACTGTCAGTGTTGCTATATTTAAAGAACACCTAATGTCCTCATTTCCAGCTCTAAATTTTTATTTTATTCCTTGGTGAAGTCCCTGAAATTATTGTTGCTGTTTAGTTTGGCCAACTCTCCCCTGATTGGCTGCCCATTGTAAACATAAAGTCTGAACTGCTGGTGGGTGGAGCTGTGTGCCTCAGATGACCATATTAGGAATATCCTCTGTTACTGACATCATACAGTGCCAAGAGGAGAAAACACTGGTGCATTTAGCATCCAATCTGAAGCTTGTACATACACTGACTTTATTATTTGAAAAATTTGCCATGTTTAATATGAGGATTTCCTATTATAACACTGTATATATGACAAAAAATTAGTAAAGCCCGACGAGCTGAAGATACAATAAACATTTACTAAGCCTTTCAAATCGATTTCAGTGTTCATACAAATTGCAGCTGATGTTGTAGCAGATGGATCCTGTATCAGCTGGTCTACATCTGAATGACGGCAGCTTTTTATATTCCATTTCCAGGGAGCTTTTAAATGTCGGTGACTCAGGAAATTACATTTTGAATGAAGTCACACAGTCTATTTATTGATGAATGGAACATCTGCAGATATTCATGAGCCAGTTTGAAACCAGTCTGAACCTGATCATTCAGGGACTTGTATAATTATGTTTTTAGGACTTATCCACAGCTGTGAGTCTTAACATTCTCTGTACCACTTAGCTCATTTCCTGTCGTGCATAATCTCTCAATCACCTGCTCCCTGCTCATCTAATTATAATGCTAAGCTACATTTCCCCTGCCTAAGGCTAAATGGTGCTGATGCTGTGATTTTACCTGACTAGAAACACCAATGGACGCACAAACAAACACACTTACCATCATGATGTCATCGATTGATAAGCTAACTTGTTTCCTGTGCACCAAGTGTCACACATTAAGGAAACCGAGGGTTAAAACGGGTCTTTAATTGGCTTTATTTTGGGAGATGGTGAGGAAGAAAAGAGTGAAATTAGAAGAAAGACGAGGCAAATCAGAGCGACAGTGTGAGAGCGGAAAGTCAAAATGGCTGGAGCCAGAGAAACGAGCTGTGTCTCAGAGAGATCTGAGTTTGATGGAGCAGAGAGGATGTCAGTCCTCTCTGAACAGTGCTGGGCTACAAAGTGCTGACTGCCCCAGTTCATCTTCAGTCGTGTGGCATTTCTAGGTGCATCGAGTCCTTTGGATAGGCACACCACTCTCATCGTATTACCTTGTTGTCATGCAGGAATCACTGTAAGTTGATGTTCTTTGGGATGACTTTCCCCACAGAAGTGTTGGCTAAAATGTGGATAAATGAGGATTTCTTTCTGCACCAGAGACCTGCCCAGAGTGTACCCCGCTCCTTACCTGGTAGCTGGGTGGGAGAGTGGGTGAATGAAATTAGGATATTTTTCTTTTTAGTAGTTTTTAATAAGAATTGCTAAAAGAGTTTAAAACTGTGTAATAGTAGTATTTGCCTGTTTTTGCCATTACCATCTTTGACCAAGGATCACTGTCAGTTCATATGGTAACCTTCTCAGCCACAATGTAGGCCTGCCTTCAAGCCAACCCTGCTTTATCACATTTGTTTACTTTTTTAGCTGAGCTGCAAAAAAGCTTCCTCATCCTTTTAGGGTTTCTCACGTGAGCTCACATGCAGATTGCTCAAGAGCTATACTGACCATGATACAGTCATATCATGGAAAAAATGTATATTTTCAGACTGGTTGGCAGTCGTTCCTGGAGGTTGCTGGCTTGTGTGTGCATGTTTAGACGTCTTTTTCAGGACAGAACATTGCTGTGCTACTATACTTGTGAGGACCAACAGTCCCAAAATGCCTGTTCCCATGATTTTGAAGTCATTTTTGAGCCTAAAAATGTTGTTTTAGTGTCAGGTTTCTTATTAGGTTATGGTTAGGTTTAGGCTGAGGGTTAGGGATTCATTTTTGATGGTTAGGGTAAGTGGCTAAGGAAAGCATTATCTCAGCTAGATGTCCTCACTAAGATATGAAAATGAGTGTGTATGTGTCTATATTGGCGGTGAAGATAAGAGAAGTGGCTGAACCTGTTTTCATCTTATAATCCGATTTTTATGAGAGGTGCATATTTTAAAATATGATAGTTGCATCATGGGGCTGTATTTGAGCGAGTGGTGTTGGGGATGAAAATCAATGGCATTGTGAAAAAGTACAGTCAGCTTTTGAACCACTATAAAATGGCATCATTTCTCAGCATGACAAAAACTCTAGTAAAAGCATACTTGGATGGAAAAAACACACCTGAGTCTTGCCTGGACCTCAGCATTACTGAAGCGTTGTGGGATTATCTTGACAGAGATTTAATTTCCCCAACTCTTTATCCAACTGGAGAAATAAACATGATTCATATTTAAGTGACTTTCATAATGAGCAGTATATACTGGTTGAATAGATTAAATAAAGAAAAGAACAAAAAGTGCTATATGAGCAAAAATAACAACAAATGAAGGGTAACATAAAGTGAAAACAAACTGAAAGTCTGAGTGTGTGTTTGGATGTGGCAGGTGTTAAACTAGGCCTGTAACTGTACAAACTACTCATGATGTCACGTCTCAGCTTTCGACTCTTAAAGGAGGAGAAAGCAGGAAGGATGCAGACGTGTAAATGGGATGCTTCTTTGTTGCTTCTTTGTTTGGGTTTATTGTGTGTTAGCCTGAGCCTCTCCTGGCCGATGACCAAGAAACTAATAAGTGGCTCTACCAGCTGAGACTGGGGGGCTGTTTGCTTGCATACATCTGATGAGAGAGCTCTCTAAGCACTCCTGTTACATCATAACTGTTTACATCACTCAGGAGTAGAGAGCAATATCCCAGGATGTTTTTATAAATAGTTTTTATAAATTACTACTTTGCCATGTAGTATGCATCATTGCAGTCAGTATTACAGCCCGGATAAGCACTATGGTGTAGTTCTTCTCTCTGGTGAATGTTTCTTGTGCATTTTCTGTTACAAATTTAGTCTGAAACACTGGAAAAGAGGAACCAGAAGTCTTATTTTCCCACATTCCAGTGAGTCTCGTGGGTGATACGCACCTACCCAAAAATCAGCCTGTGGAAGACATCACTACGTGCTGTACTGAATGCATGGATTCGACTGCAGATGCATTCACACACTCTTAAAAATAAACTTTTATTTTTCTCTGAAGTACTGACACTCTGGCAGCTGGCTGCATGGGTTGTCTGGATAGCTTCTTCATGCATGATGTAATTGTGTCGGTGTTCCGGCCTCAGTGATGTCACCTGTGGGTCAATGTCAGGTCTGTCTGGAGCAAACAGTTGTCTATGACAGCTATTAACTTGCAAAGTTGTTGTCTTGTGCAGTGAGTTTCATCGATTGGCCCTCTTCCCCACTTCTACCCTTCCTTTGTTTTCCTCCTCATCTTTTTCTCTCCTCCCCCTCTTCCTCTGTTGTTGTGTTGATACTGAGGCTTTAGGCTGTGTAGCGCTAACTCTCCCTCCATCAGCCAAATCCCCTTCGACATCTTGTAGACACAAAGACTTTTGGGTTGTCTGGTTTTATTTGGGCTGTATTTCACATCATCAAGACAACTTCTGAAAAATGGTTGTCGACAGTATCCAGATGGAAAGATGTAATAATGTAATGTAGAATTACTGAAAATAAAAAAGCTCAAACTCGAATCAATACATTTAGAAAGTGTGTAAGAAGTAGATGATCATAAAGTATTTTGCACCAGTCATACAAATATGATGAGTATATATCCGATGTAATGGGGGAACAGCTCTGTGTACTCCTGCTTATGTGCTTGCAACTATAGGAAAATGTTGCAGTGATGCAGGTTATCAGTTGCCTGGATGTATTATGGCCTGGCATTGATCCATTTGCTAACTATTCATTACTTAAGCCAGAGGCTGGACTGATGACTTTGTTGGCTGTTTAGTCCTTCACTTTCTGAGAGGCTGCAAACCACTTTTTGCTGACTCAGAGCCAGTAATGTAGGCCATCAGTACTGCTGAGTCAGCGCACGGTTTAAGTGGATGCTGCTCATCTTAATTTGGAGTATTTTAGCAGCCGGGACGTATAAATAAAACACTAAAATGTGCTAAAGTCAGAGTAAATGGTCTCTCTAAGAAAAAGACAGCATCCCAGCGAGTGAAATCTCTATTCTCATCTTAATCTCAGATGTGTCACTCCAAATAATCAGGGTTCCAATCTGTGACCTTCATATTCAGTCAGTGGAGAGTAGGAGGCTTGGAGGGAGACGTGCTGCAGGGAGGAGCGCTGCCTCGCTGTCTTCCCTCTATAATTGAATTGGTCCAGGGCAGACTAAGGCGATGTGATGGATCATTGTAGTTATAACCTTGCTTAAAATAGAGCTGTGTGCGGCGTTAAATGTGGCAGAAGTCATCTAAATTGTGCAGCTGCATTATGTCTTCTTCTGTGAGATACCCCCACCCCACTGTTCATTTCACACCTCTCCCTTCCTGTTCTCTGCTTTCACTCATTCAATCTGCCTCCTTCTCTTTAAAAATGTTTCATCTGCTTCTTTTTCTAGATCTCCACTTGGCAGCAGAGCTGGGAAAGACTCTGTTGGAGAGGAACAAAGAGCTGGAGGACTCTCTGCAGCAAATGTACATCACCAATGAGGAGCAAGTGCAAGAGATCGAGGTGTGGACCACAGAGCAATGCAAATATTACATTAATTAATATCACAGGACTGCCAGCTCAAGGGCACTCGGTAACAGCAGTGAACAGAATTGTTACAGGAAGTGCAATTGCAAGTGAATTCTTCTGCAATACAAAAAATGTGTTATGGAGTCCCACAGGGCTCTGTACTCGGCAATAGTATTAGGCGACAATGCAGATGACACCCAGCTTTTTTCCTTATGCCACATGAGTCGGCTTAAAGACATTAACGTGCAGATAGCCTGTTGGTTTCTACTCGTGTCCGAAGGGGACACGGTGTCTTGCCAGATACCTTACTCTGGATGGCATTACCCCGGCGTCCAGTACTACTGGGTTGAACTATTTTTGTCCTTTAATTGTACATAAAAAGTATTTTTTTTAAGACAGTCGTTTTTCATATAAACAGTTATCTACATTAGGAACTTCCTGTCTCAGAGTGATGCTAAAAAACAACTTTGTGCATTTGGTACACATTGGCTAGACTATTGTAATTTCTCATTATCAGAATGTCCTAATGGATCCATTAAAAGGCTTCATTTCCAAACACAAGAGAGATCATGTTTCTCCTTCTGCATTTTCCGCAGCCTTCCGCTGTTACATTCCTCTGTGTCGAACCACCAGACAGTATGTTTGGCAGGAGGCCTTCTCTCTGTTTTGAAGGTTAATCTTAAACAGGGCTTATTTTCTTCATTTCTGTGCACATATTCCTGTTCCTAGACTCTAGTAAAGTAGCTCTGCATGACTAATAACTGAATCTAATCTAATTAAATTACCTTATACTGGACCTTGATGCAAATCCTTGGTTCGCAGTTTGTAACAAACTTTCGTTTTGGTTTTGTTTGAGCCAGCTTGTTATTTATTTGCTGCTCCTTGTACAGAGAGTATTTGAACAGCAGGTGGGTGGAGCCTTTGTGCTCACACTTCTCAGTGACAAAGAGCCAAAAGTATTTAAAACCCAGCCTTAAATGGAGCATTTTAGAACAGAATGATGTTTGAGCTTATGGTGAACAGGGCACCCATAATTTCTGTGTGCATGTACAATGAAAATAACGGGCTGTTCTATTCTATTATTCTTTCCTGACAAAGCTTATCAATGGAGCTGGATGAGGTGACCTGTGAACTGTCCCTTTGTTACACTGCTGTAGACTATTTCCTTCTGTGTAACACAATACTTTAGCACAATCCTTGAATTAAATTAAATTGGGTGGAAACACCCAACGTGCTTATTTATGCGCTTGTCTTTAGTAAGGAATTTTCTGCTAACTGGTGAAGTCCATCTGCTGAATGATATCATGCAGTATGGTGTGAAGCTGTACAGCAGGTGTTTAGTGGCTCAGGAAGTTAGGTTGCAGTGATAAATCCTACATATGTGCTGTAAAAAGTAAATGAAAGCCAAATTTAAGTGACCGTTAAAAGCTTCTAGCTTCAGAGATCTAAGAGATTGTTGGAACTTTACCTGAAGTTGTGCATTTTTATTTGCGCCAAATATGTGTATGCGTTTGTTTCCAGTACTTGTCAAAGCAGCTGGAGGTTCTTCGGGACATGAACGAGCAGCATGCCAAAGTGTACGAGCAGTTGGACGGGACTGCCAGAGAGCTGGAACGCACCAACCACACGCTGGTGATGGACAGCAAGTCCTCGCAGCAAAAGATCGAGAGGTGAACGGGACTGGGAGCTTTCCTTTTTCCATGTTTTTGGCCTTCTTTCATTCATTTATAAATCTTTGCCCTCTCTTATGCACCAGGTTAACGGGGACTATTGAGACTTTGCAGAACCAGGTGGAGTCTCTGTCAGGGCAGGTGGAGCAACTTCGCTCCATGGAGCAACTGCGGGTCAGGAGGGAGAAGAGAGAGCGACGCAAGACCATCCACTCATTCCCTTGCCTGAGGGAGCTTTGCACAGCACCCAGGTACCTGTTTTGTCTTCCATAGAATGAGAAAGAAGAGGAAACACTTAAACACTGCATGCCAGCATCAAACTGCTAAATATTGGTCTCATCTGTTATTTTGTCAGGTATGAGGATGAGTTTGTAGTGGGCAGGGCTGAAAGTTTTACTATGGAAGCCAAGCGTCAGCCATTTGAAGAAGAGAACCAGCACCTGAGGGAAGCGGTGTCGGCTCTGAGAGCTGCTGTCCGGGCCGAGAGGAGTCGCAGGGAAGGGGTGGAGAGGGAGTGCAACCTCCTGATATCGGAGTTCTCCCGGCTGCAGACACGGGTGCAGGTGGGGTGCAAAAATAATGCACTAAGCATGTTTGGCTGTTAAGATACAGGAAAACATACAAGCAGAAAAGATATCGGCAAGTTGTTTTTTGTTTTTGTTTCACCAAAGTGAAACTAACTGCTAGCAGGGACAGTGCTAATTTGTCAGAGTCCATTTGATTTCATTGGTTATGACATTTAATTATGTCTTCAATGCTGATCACCCCTAATGAAAACGACTGACTAATGGAGTGTCGTTTTGAATTATGTCCTTAATCATAATCATATTGTTCTATTCAAATGTGGTCAAAAGTGTGACCATGTGAACAGCGAGGCTTGGTGAGCTAGCTGTAGATGTTGTTGAGGTACGTCACAGATGCTGATACCACATAATTGGTGCTCATAAATAGAGTATTAATAAGATGCCACTCAGCTTTTTTTTATTTTATATTTTATTTTAAATAACCAAGTGGTAAGCATGTTTATTTTTCCTGCAAGAAAGTTGTTGTTTTGTTTTTTTTAAAAGTAGAAGTCCGTGTGTACATGCTCGCTTGAGCGGCCTCAAGTGGCCATTAGCAGAACTGCAGGTTTCTGCACTTCAGCACACTGGCTTCTTTTTTTCCAGCCACTTCAGCCTAAAGTTTCTGCATCTGTCAGACTAAATAGTCATTGATTATGGAAAGGGGTCAAATGTTCTTTAAATCTGATCTCTGTGTGCAGTTTAATAAACTACCTTGGAACTTGATCAACTGATCCAAAAATGATGATTTGCTGATTATAAATTAAAGACAATTAAGTGGAGGAGAATTTTCCTATGATGTGCTATTTATGTCTTTATATCGAGTGTGGGTAATGAATTTTATTTGAAATAAAACTAACTGGTTGTGCTCACAGGATGCTGAGAGCTGCCAGGCGAGAGTGCGGGAGCTGGAGGTGGAGCTGCAGGAGCTGCAGCAGCTGCGCCGAGCTCGAACTTTCCTCCTGAGCAGTGAGGATGATGGTGTGGCTCTTACCCAGACTGTCCTCAGTATCACCCCGGAGACCGACACCTTTTTGGAAGTGGAGGACGCGGAGACGGGAGGAGGCGTCAGGGAGGAGACAGCAGGTGGAGGAGGTGTTGGAGGTGAGGCGTTACCTGATTCCAGTCCTGTGAGGAAAAGCTGCAGCGACACGGCGCTCAATGCCATCGTGGCCCGGGATGCGTCCGGCAGAAGGAGAGGCAGCTACGCTCTGCACGCCAATAGCGTGAGGAAAAGAGGGATGTCCATCCTAAGAGAGGTGGATGAGCAGTACCACGCCCTGCTGGAGAAGTACGAGGAGCTGTTGGGGAAGTGTCGACGACACGAAGAGAGCCTGTGTCACGCCGGCGTCCAGACTTCCCGGCCCGTCTCCAGGGACCCGTCTATGAAAGACTGTGCCATGGGCCCCATCGTGGCACCTCCCCCTACTCCCACCCAATCGCCGTCCACCCCTGAAGCCATCGAGAGCATCAGCAAACAGGTGGAGGCGGTGGATAAGCGGCTGGGGCAGAACACTCCAGAGTACAAAGCCCTTTTTAAGGAGATCTTCTCTCGTATCCAGAAGACTAAGATGGACATCAAAGCTACCAAAGCTGCAAAAACTAGCAAACCTGGTAAATCTGGTAAATCTAGTAAACACTAAATTTACACCGACTGGCTCTGGAGACGGTGGCATCATTGCTTGTTCAGTGTTAGGTTGCGAAGGTGCCCGGTACGAACATTCTTACAGAGGGTGCTACTTTTAAAACCACTAAATTGAAATATGGTTCAGGTTGACTGAGGTCACGTCAGACTCTCGTGATCGAGAGTTGAAACCTTCTGATTTGCATGCGATCAATCTGCAAAAGTTGGAGAACTTAAGCATAAAAACATAAACAATATAATTTCAGCCTGGTCCAAAGTCTATTCTGGCTTCACTGCCTTACTAACTATACTTAAAACACTATTACACAGCTTGTGGGCCTGACCAGTACACCAAAAGCTAACGTTTCACAAAAACTAATAAAACTGCATATCTGAGAGAAACACGAGTACAAATCAATGTCTGTCATGTGTTGCTTTTAACATAGAGAACTAAACTAGCATTTCTGTGATTATAATAAGACAAAGATTGATTCCTCACCTCACAAGCCGAGGATGTCAAGGGTGACTGGAGGTGCTACTTTTACTAATATCTCTAGTCGCGTTAACTCTAGTGAAGCATTTTTGTCTGGACGAGATTCCTCCTTCCTGTGTGCGACCTTACTTTGGCTTAGTGGAAGTTTACGGGGCTTCGCCTTCAATAGTTTGAGATTTTGGGAGAGTGATGAAAAGATCCATACCAGTGCTGTGTTTGTATGTTATTAAGCCACCGCTCATTTAACATAAACACTAACCCGACTCTTGTCATAACAAGTTGTGGGTTTTGGGGAGCAAAAGTGTTGTGAATGAATATAATACAGAGATTACTGACTGATACTGGATTATTGTTGCTAATACTAGGTAGTAAAATGATTATCTTTATACTGGGTTATATTCTTTATCTTTCAGTCTTCTACATTACTGAGTGCACTCAAAACCTATAGCTGGCCAGTTGCCTTGCTAGCAGGTCAAAAGCAGAGATGAGCACTAGTGAAATGACAGTTACGTTGAAAGTGTTTGAAACATTGGGGTCACTTTTTTTTTTTTTTTAATTAATTATCAAGCAATACATTTCACACTGGCTTTTGTCCAGCTGACACTAACATAGCTGGTAGCTGCCAAAATCCATTTATATAAGATAAGATTAAGTAACCATTTGGACAACATTGCATATATCCACAGTTTGTATGGCATAGATCAGCATATATATAACTAGTACTTGTTTAAGATTTTATTTGAACGTAACACGGTGCAGGTACTGCAGACAGGGTTTCTAGTATGTGATAAAACATTAAAACAAAAAGGGCCAGAAGGGTCCAAAATTGAGGCTGCAAAAGCAAGTCAGTCCCCCTAAACTCTGATGGAAAAATGCCCACCTCTGGAGGAAACGTTTACAATTTGGTACTAAAACCCATTTTGGTCTGCTCTTCGGCCACAGTGGATCATCTGCCTCGATCTCTCACCCTGTCCCTAGCACCCTCTTCTGTCACACTAACCATCTGCATGTCCTCCGTCACTGCGTCCATGAATATTCTCTGTGCTCTTCCTCCTTTCCAACCTGGCAGCTCCATCTTCAGCATCCTTTGTCCACTATTACGCCTTTCTGTCTGTACAAACCTTATCAGCCTTACCTCACTTAAAACCTGAGCTTTTCCTCTAATTCACTCCCTTCCGATCCTGTCCCCTCCTGGTCACCCAAATAAAAGCTCTGTATCTTCAACTCTGCTACCTCCAGCTCCACTGCCTGTCTTTTTGTTATCAGCTTTCACTGTTACTGTTATCTTCCTGTCACAAATCTACTCACTCCACCTTCCCTGCACTCTCTTCTTCTCCTCTCGTGTGCACTCTGTTGCTTTGGATGATTTAAACTCCTCTACATTCAAAACTCCTTGCATCTTCACCGATTCACCTGTCTCCCTTTCATAAAAAATAGCATGACTTGCTGTTGATTAATTCTACTAACAGCTTGTGCACCTCCTTTGTTGATTGAAGTGCTAGTATTATTAATACTATATATCTAACAAGACAGCAACAGCCAAAATGCTAAAGTCGAGGTTCATAAGGAATATCTGTTCCCAACCAGCTGTTTGCAACAGTGCTTAAAAAGTACGTGCAGGAAAATGAAAGACCTGGCAACCCTGGCTGCAGGCAGTACTGAGAGCTTCTTCAGAGCCCATCGCTACCATTTCCAAATTACCCCAGTAATATTTTCTACCTATGTTCTGTTTAAAGTTTGCATATTGGCACAAATCTGACAACAAAAATGCTAATACCGACTGATCTGTGATAGGCCCAGTAAATGCTACAAAGCTTCTGACTTAGAGATGAGTTGCAAAAGGAGAATCTCTGCAGATAGCTGTTTTCATTGTTTCCTGGGCATTATGAGCTTTCATACAGAATACAGTAAATGTAAAGCATGAGGATTTCTGGTTGCTGGGGTGACAACTGAATGAAGACGGCATGAAGGTTTGTGAGGAAGTAGATTTTATATAGTTAGTCATTCACACTTAATAGCTGACGTGTAACCGGTATAAGGCTTCAAACCAGGGCTTTTTCTAACACCTAGCAGTCTTACCAAACTATAAAGCTAACCTGCAACATATTGCACCTTTTTCACAATATACAATAACTATGCCTTTTTTCTTGGTAACCTCCTATATGTAAACCTTTGTTATAATGAATGTTATTACGGTTATATATTTTATACACAGCTCTTCAGCGTCGTGGAGGACAAATGGACACAGCTAACACCGGAGGGATCGTAAACTAGTGTTTAAGGCTCATGTGTGTTTTTAGGAAGAGAAAAAACCCCACTGTGGATAATGGATTTTGTGTGCAACCCAGAAAACAGTTAGTGAACAAACTGTGGTGCGTTTGAGGTCGGCGCTCGTGTCATTTCGAATGATCCAAGCGCAATGAGAGAACACGTGTTAGCAATGCCAAACCAGAGCCTGTTATTATTCTACCAGGTTCATGGAGTTTCTGTACTGTAATGACTTACCTATTGCACTTAAAATGTCTGACGCCTCATCTTTTCATATTTAGGATAGGTAACATTAAAACTGTACCTGTATTTTGATTTTTTTTTTGTGTGAATTTTTAATTTTTTCTTTTTTCTTTCTTTTTTTAATTTTCAGTGCCGATATGTGAATGTTGATAACATGCTGTCAGAATAAATTTATTTAATTTGCTTTACTTTTATTATCCAGTTGAAACTTGTGCATTATTACTTCATAAGACATTTGCATTAATGTTTAGTCTAATCTGGTATTAGTTCCTATTATTACTGAACTAAGACTTACTTTACCCTGTTAATAAAGCATTTATATAATGCATTCAGTCTCTTTGTATTTGTTGTATAATTAAACTGAGTAAGTAACACTTCCTGACTCTAGAAATAGTTTATGCATGTGCGGATCAGACCCTAAGGTCTCCTCTCACACAAACCTCTCTCCCTGACCCGGTGAGATAATGTCATGTCAGTCACACAAATTAGTTGATCTCCATTCCTTTTTTGGTGGCTGCAAGCTGTTGGTTATGACGGAAATAATAAGACTATGGAAGTGGCCACAAGAAAGGAAGAGTTTGGTCATCCAGGAAGCGTTCAGAAGCATAGAAATAAAGTATCGATCCTGTCGCGCTTGTATTGATCCACACCATTGATATTTGGACTTATAGGCCCAACTCTATTGTCTACTGATCGTTACACCAAGTGAGGTGTTTCAGTCATACAAAACTGGAAGGAGACCCTGGGGAAGCTGGAGAAATTCTATCACAATACTGAGTTGGGAACACTCCAGCACACCATAGGATGAGTTGGAGGTGATGGCTGGTAAGAGGAAGGCTAGGTTATCCCCTGTCCAGAGAATTGACTGCATAAACCAGATGTGGGCAGGGATGTTAAACTCATTTTGCATTGTGGGCCATATACAAGTCAGATATATAAAGTGTAGGTATTTGTTTAAAAATATAGGGAGCTAAAGTAAAAGGTTGTCAGAAAAATAACTACTTAAGTAAAGTACAGGTATCTGAAAAGTTAACGAAGAAAGTAAACCGTAACAAAGCATTTGTACTTTGTTGCTTCCCACCTCTGTGCCACTTTTTAAAGTGACTTTAGCTGATGTGTTATTGGAGTAGTAAAAAACCACAAGACTTCAGCACATTTTGTGAGTACAGGGAAAGTTTTCTCATCAACAGCTACTGATAAAACGCTGCTGTTCTATAAGGTATAACATCATTTGTGTTGTAATAGAGGTTGAAATAGTGGTAGAAAATAAAGTACCGACGTCGTATAGTTATATATTTAGGTATTTGGATATACTTGGGTTCCTCGTCTATCAATCTGACCGCGTGGCCTAATGGATAAGGCGTCTGACTTCGGATCAGAAGATTGAGGGTTCGAGTCCCTTCGTGGTCGACTTTTGCTTACGTCGCAGCCGCCAAATTCGCTTTCGATTCAGTTGCTCTTAGGCAGCTAACCTTCCACCAAACGACAGCAGTTTTTTGGAATGTTTGTGTCCTTGAGTCAATGTTAAAATTAAAAGCCAAACGAAATGAAGATGTTGTGTATGTGAAACGGAACTCCTACTGAAGCTAATAATGATTGATGGTATCCGTCCAAGCGAACGCTAACGTTATGGTTAACTTACTAGCGAAAACGATTACTCTTTAAGATTAAGACACTAATGTTACAAAAACTAGCAATCTTATCAGTCAGATCTGGCAACAACAAACACGTACAACAGTGAGTTAAATACAGAAATAATCACTCACTTCACCATCGGCAGCAGAGTGGCGCAGCGGAAGCGTGCTGGGCCCATAACCCAGAGGTCGATGGATCGAAACCATCCTCTGCTAAGCCTTCTTTTTTTTTTTTTTTTTTCATGAAAGAAAAACCCTTGGCTCTTCTCTCGTCAACAAAGTGCTGTTTATTACTACTATAAGCGTAATTTTATAAGTGTCATTAAACCTAGTGTGTTAAAGTAGCATTCTTAGTTAAAAGTAGTCTTCACTTAAAACATTGTTGGTGTTTATTATGAAACGCTTTCAGTGTTTATTTTACAAACAACAACAAAAACAACAACAAAAACCCAATATGTACATCAACCACTTAATAAATAATATAAGTATAAAATCACAAGATTGATTATTATAGCCACTAAATCGCAGGAGGGAGAAGTATAACAGTCATCCACTTAGTCAAAATCCACACGTCTGTTCTGCTTGGTAGCTGAATGAATCTTCTTCTTTCTGAGGCGCTCCTTGTTCCTCTTTTCCAACCTGCACAACACATTTCAGGTCAAATTTAGCCATTTTTAAAGTAGATCAACAACCAAATAACGCCACTCTAAGCAGTACCTTGCTGCCCTGAGAGCGATGTCTTCAGCTGTTGGCTCATGGGGCTTCTCACTGGCTTCTGCTATGATAGCAGAGATCTTCTGTATGCAGTCAGAAAGGTTTCTCTGCTGACTCCTACTCAGCTCTGAGGTCACCAGCAGTTCCCCCGCCTTAGTGATTCGGGTTTTGTTCTGCACAGCAACATCAAAGTGAGGGGTGAAAATTAAAAAGTTAAAAAAATAATCTGCAAAGAGAATAACTGTATTTTCTGTTAACTGTGATGCAAGAGTAGAAATGAATGAAATTGACATCAACAAGTCAGACATATTTCTTAACTCACAGTATGTGAAAACAAACCTTTTCAAGGATTTTTTTCCGAACATCTTCTGGGATCCATTCTGCTGTTTGCACATGGAATCGGACTTCTGCTTTTGTGCTGACTGTGGATTGAAAATGGTAGACCATCTTATTAACATGCACTATGTTATGCACTAATTATGCACCAGAAAGCATTTATTTTTCATTTAAAATTAAACTGTGGTAACCTTTGTTGACATGCTGACCCCCAGGACCGCTGCTTCTGCTGTAAGATACCGTCAAACGTTCTAATACATAACACAAGACCATATGGATTAATACACCGTATAAATGACATGACATTTATATGTGATTCCTCTTGAAAATATGTTTGTTTGTCCTTACCTACTGGAATGTGAACTTGGGTTTCCTGAAAAAAGTCAAAATAAAACCTGTTTCTCGATGGCAACAACTTAAACTACTCAAACTAAACACACCCTACGTTCAATACATCCAATAAGTTTTATTCGGAAACAGTAGGTAAACTAGTCATTTTTTAAGGGACTTTTCAGAGGCATTCTTCCTACAACAGAAAGACAGAAACTGTTCGCGTTTATTTTACTGACCTGTGTGCCGGCCGCCTCTCGGGTCCCGTAACTAACACTCGACTGAAAAGTGTTGTTAGTGTGCCTCAGTACAACATTCCGTAATGTTACATGCTGCCTAATCACGTTTATTCCTACACAACGACAAAACACATAGGAACGTCGCGCAATGGAGGCCGCCATGTTGGAGTGACGTCTTCACGACGGTCGAAAGAACGTCGTGTAGCTGTTGCTGCGTCTCGTGACGGTAGCACATGTATGTGTGCTGGTGTATTCCACACCAAACGTCGGGGTTTGTTAGTAGTATTAAAGCTGTGTGTGTGCTAGTGAGATACATGTTAATTTACATTTGGTCCACATGTTTGCAAGCAGAAACATTAAGAAAAAGTTAGGTTCCACCGAGATTTGAACTCGGATCGCTGGATTCAGAGTCCAGAGTGCTAACCATTACACCATGGAACCACACGTGCGAGTGTCAATTTTTTATGTATTTAACCACGAGAAAGAAAGGTCACGCTACTACCATTGACACATAAATTATTAATACAATGTTAACTCACATGATGCAGAGGCCTGAGTTTGTTTAATGGCTCCACTAGCTGGCATATTACCATGTCACCTGTTGCGACGAAGAAATCCTGTTTTTCCCGCTTTAGTCTGAACTAGGTTCTGACATTAGGGTTCCGAGGTATCTGGAAGGCGACCCTGACCTTTTAAATGACGCAAAAAACGGATCTCACTTTCTCACTGACCTTCGTTGTGGAAAGTACTCGGAGGAGACGGCTAGCTGGAAAAAGTGCAGATTGTGCAAAACTGACAGAAGGAGAAATTTACCTTTTGGACAAAGTGCTGAATTGCTCAGATTAAACAGCGGCTCTAAAATGAACAAGGTAAAAGATACACACTTTGATTTATCGCACACATTTGAACCAAAACATAGGGCCACTCATATTTGTCTTTCGATAAAATCCTTTATAAGTGATTATGAGATAAGGAGGGAACTTTTTGGGATATTTAGTATGTTTCCTCTGCTGCCTGTAAACTTAAACTTAAATTAATTGTATCTCTAGGTTATTTGTTTAAACGGAATATGAACAACCCATGGTAATGTCAGGGTTGCTAGTTAGCAAACAACTACAGGCATCTTGTTTGTATTAATGGCATTACCATCAAACGGTGACTACATTTACATTTAAAATGATACCTAAAAATGAAGAAGAACAAATGAGGGATTTTGTTTCTCTTCATTTTAAATAATTATTCAAATGTGGTCTTTACACGATCTTTTTGCGTATTTCTGTTATGATCTGTTGTTAAATCTGGTAATATTGCAACTTCTGTTAACATCTGTTGTCTGTATCAATGCAAGACTCATCAAATCACCAATCTGTTTGAGTAAAATGCACTTTTAACTCATTTCAAACAATAGAAACAGTAGAAGATTTGCAAAAAAATAAACAAATGCCCCCATAGCAACGAAAGCTTTAT